ATGCAATCCAAATAAAAAGCAAGACCTTCAAACTTGCTTTTTTCTGGTCAAAGATCCAATTCTAATGTACCAGTATACTTCTTTGGTTTTCTTGAGGCTCTTGTAGTAAAGAAAGAGGAAGTGTGAAGGACTTTTGAATATTGAAAGGTGAGAAAAATATTTGTTTCTTTAATTTTAAAGAAAAATTATTATAAAAGAAAATTTTTTTAAAAAAAGTTATGTACAGAAAAGAGTTATTATAAATATATATTTTTATATTATATTATAATTTAATATATTGAAGACCTATGGATCTATAGTACAGTGGTAGTGCTCCATAGGTTACCAGAAGAAGGTCTAAGGTTCAACCCCACTTGGTTACAAAAATTTATCACCTTCATGATTGGTTGACTGGCTTCCAATTCATGTCATATCCAATTAGCCGAAAATCTACTTCCAAATCCAGTTAGATTGCATAAAGATGGGACCTCTGGTTTTCCCGATGATTGCAGGCTGAAAACAGATCGAAGCATGGAAGGTTGCATAAGGAAAGGCTTTTGGTCTAACTCCGGTAAAAGCCCACAAAACTCTAACCCAAACTGGTGACAGCAGACTTTGTCACATAACACAAAAAGAGGCTAACTCTAAGCATGATCTATCCCAATCTGAAGCTTGAAGATCTATCCCATGAGTGGTGTTCTCCTGAACTTAAATGGACCAAAAGGGCAAATGTTATCTGCCACAGGAGATGACAATCCAGGTAAAAATCGTTAAGACCAAGTGAGTCTGGTAAGGATTGACAAGATTAAATTAGAATCCAAGCAAGGACGCTAGTTCCACAGGTGGTGAAAATAGTAGTGTAACACTATGCTAGTGGCACATCCTGAGGATCAGTGATAACAATGACTGGAATACTGGGGTTTGTTTTTATAATAATATTCCATAAATAACTTTCTCTCTACAATAATGGACCAGCAGGTTGTAGGTGGATTTAAACTAGTGGTAGAATTCCCCCCTCTGCAAAAGTCCCACCTGGCGTGTGGACACATCCCCGAGGTGTTTAAAATGAACACATAGTCAAGTAACAGTTGGCTTATGGGAAACCAGTACTACTGGAAATGGTAATCACTAGTTAGCATTAATTTACATTCTAGAATAACAATAGTTTAGTCTATAAAGATATTTGATGTAATGACAGTACTATTAATTAGTAAATAAAAGTCTCGCATCTAATGCCCTTAGCCAACTTAAAAAAAAAATAATTTAATATATTGAAGTTCTTTAATAAATTTTAATTTATAACAAAGAATTATAAAGAATATTGTAATATATAACTGTATTTCATAACTATATTTTAAAAATTTCTTCCATACAAGGTTTTAAAATTTTTATTTTTTTTAAAAAAATATCTAAATAAAAACTAGATATGCATAATATATTTAATGCATTAATTATAGGTTTTAAGAGAAAATTGAAAGAATAAAATTCTAGTAAAGAACATTTAAAAGTATTTGATAAATTCAAAAATAATCTAATAGATATTGAAAATATTTAGTGAAAAATATTATATAAAGAAGCAAAGAAGTCATAATAGTATATAAAAACTTTCAAAACAGGCTTAGAGATATTTATCCAAATGAATAGGCAACTGTGGGTTTAAAAAGAAAAGGAAGAATTTTTAAGTATATTGTATTACTATTAAATAAATTTTAATTAATAATAATTAAAACTTTTTTGGTATTAGTAAAGTTTTTTAAAATAATTATAAACAAAATTCTCTATTTTTATAAAAGATTAATTCTATAATTGATTATTAAAAGACCTTTAAAGATAAAACTACATACCTGAAAAATAAACTATATTTACAAAATAACTTTATTATAGAATAAGACTTTATAGAGATATTAAGGTTTCTTTAGAAATATAATCTTTATTATTATAGATCTTATTGTTTATTTGATTTGGTTTTAGCTCTAGTTATTTCATTATTATATATATTTCATTTTTTGTTTGCTTTTTTATATTTTATTTTCAAGTAAATAAATAACTGCTATTCTTTTATTTAATATATTAATATTGCTTTTAAAATTTTTTTTAATATTAATTAAATATAATTAAAATAAGCAAGTTAACATATAACTTTTTAAAATATAGAAAGAGATACTGTTTTTTTCACAATATATCTTATTATATACAAATAAAATAAGAAAATAATATTTATCTATCAGTTATACAAGTTTTTACATAAGTTTTTAAGTTATAATAAAAAAAATTTTTTTACTTAATAATTTAATATAAACTTTAAAATCTATATTATTCTTCATTTGCTTATAAACTTTGAATGTTTTTTTTTTAATTTGATAGAAAATATGATAGAGAATAAATAAATTTATATTACTAACTCAATATCTCTTAAACCCATGAAGTTTATTTAGAAGCAAGTAAAATTTTTATAGTAAACTTTAAAATTTTGACTCAGCAAAAAGGATCTACAGTAATTTTAAAATTTAAAGATTTACTACGTATAAAAATTTCACTTGCTTTTAGATAAACTTCATAAGTTTAAGAGATATTGAGTTGGAGGTATAAGTGAAGTTATCTTCTATTATATCTTTTATCAAATTAAAAAAAATATTCAAAGTTTATAAGCAAATAAAAAATAATCTAGATTTTAAAGTTTATATTAAATTATTAAGTAAAAAAATTTTTTTATTATAACAAAATTTACATTTAAAATTTGTATGAAAACTTGTGAGACTGCTATAAAGAAAAGTTCTTTTAAAAAAACAAATATTAATTAATATAATATATTATAAATTATATTAAAAGTAAAGTAAATTTTTTATTTTAAATGTACAGTACTGTATATTAAATATTATATAAATTTTTATATTAAAAATTTAAACACAAAGTTTAAAGTTATTTATTTTGAAAATTTTCAATAAAATTTTAATTTTTTTTAAACCATATTTTTATAATATAAGTAAGTTATAAAAATTTTAAATATATAGGCAAATTTGCTAATATTACAATTTAAGAAATATCTTGACAATATATATAATATCATTATTTAATTAAAGTATAATTAAAATTTAAAGATTTTATAGAATTTTATAAAATTTTAATTTATTTTTATATATAAAAAGAAATAAAATTATACAGAAAGAAGAAGAAGAAAAATGGTTGTTTCTTTCACAATATACAATATTAAATAAAGAAACAATGTTTACCTATGGGAGAAATCTAAAAAAGAAATAAGAAGAAGAAGAAGAAGAATATATCTTTTAACTATTTATTTTTTTATTATTTAATATATTTACTTATTGAATGTTAAATTTTTAATATTTCTTTTAATATCCTATAATCAGTAATTGCAATATAATAATAAACTTGTTAATTACAATTTTAACAATAATAATATAAAAAAATAATCTTGATATAATAAAAACTTTTTATTTGTCTGCATCTTTTCAACTTATTGTTTAAAATCTTTGCAAATACTAGATTTCTTTATTTATGCTATTGCTAAAATACCAATTATTAGCTTTTTAATTTACATTTTCTTTCTAAAAAATATATTTGCTAGACAAAGTTTCTTAAAAGAGAAAAACTTTCCAAAAAAGTAATTTTTTATAAAAGAAAATATATATAGGAAAGAGTTTTTTTGTATTGATTTAATTTTATATTTCGTCCAATAATAAAATATATTATTTAAAATAAATAAATAAATAATATAAAAATTTTATTATTAAATAAAAATTCTAATATAAATAGATAATATATTTAAATTTATTACATGTATAAAAAAAATTTTTTTTTTTATCTTAAGTTAGTAAAATTATTTAAATGCCCGAATATTTAAATTTAAACATTTAATATTACGTGATTATCTACTAATATATTCGACATATTCAAAAGAATTTACTGGAAGGAATGCCTATATTAGACTTAATTTAAAATAACAGTAATATATAATCATTACTATTTAGTTATTTTTTTTTCTTTTCATGGGTTAATTTTTATAAATCAATACTCCCTTTTTTTAAAAAAAATTCGAGATTTGATAAAATCGCAATCGAAAATTATAAATTTTGATTTTAAAAAATTTCTTGTTATAAAAATTTGATTTTCAATTAATTCATAAAAAAAAATTTATAATTTATAAATATTTATCTAAATAATCAAAATACTGTACAATGATTATAATAGAAAAAAAATTTTTTTTAAATCTATTCGATAAATGTAATAACACATAGCTTAATAAACAAAAAACGAAAAGGCATGTATAATTTATTTTAATGAATAATTAAACTTTTTTTATTTTTTAGTAAATACCACATAAGTATTCTAAAAAATGTTTAGGACTCTTTATTTTATTTAAAATAATGACAATAAAAGATGGCACATTGATAGGAATGTTAATCGGCCGAGACTCTGCGGTAAAATCCGGACCTAACCTAGACTTTCCGGTCCGATTAATATTGCTACGTAATCATACAAATGAATTATAGCCTAATTTATTAAAAAAGCGGCGGGCACCGTGACGGATATTTTGGCTACGGATCATGCGTGTACAGTAATACCAAGTGGTTTTCATAATTAGACGCAATCAACACGAACCTACACTGTACGATAGTTATTAACATGACCGATTATAGAAAGCCGTATAAGAAATGCTTTTAAAAATTCTTGTGTCATAGATACTGATACATAAAGTTTCTTTGTAAAGGTAGACAATAAAGTATATAATTCACACAAACTACACATACGTAATTAGTATTTCCTTTGTAAACTAAAACGGATTGTTACCAAGTACAGTACAGGTTTTTCACCTGAAGTAAAAGTATTGTTGGACTAACAATCAAGTATTACTCGTATTAAATGTTGACAATCATCAATTTGGTTGGATAGGAGTTTTGACCTGGTTACACAAGAACAATATTTAAATCGTGGTGAGTCACTTTCGTTTTTTTTTTTTTTTTCTCTCCTTTCGTTTTTTTTCAATCAGTTGGTTTCCGAAGATGGCTGATTCTTTGAGAGGAAATCAGCAACAAAACACATCTATAGATGGTACAACCAGAGCTATGGAAAGAGTTCATTTGAGTGCCGAATATGGGCAACCAAATACAGGTTTAGAGGTCGCAACCCAAGGCATGGAGGTAGTGGTTAATGTCATTGAGCCATTCCTCCCACTATTTGCGAATGTTTCAAAAATTGCGACAGACCTAACAAAAATATACGACAATGCAAAGTGCAATCGTAAAATATGTGCGGCTTTAGTTGATCGTGTGGATATTGTTGAACGAGCGGTTAAATATTTACAACGTCATAAACAGAAGAATGAAAAAAATTTTAGTAGTCAACCATATTACGATTCATGGGTTAGGGTTTGTCACGTACTAGATAGTATTAAAGATTTTGCAAAAAATGTGACACAGCAATCAGGTTGGCGAAAATATGCGAATGCAAACGTTGTTAGAGAAAAGTTTGATAACATTGTCAGCGAATTTGAATCTGTATGTGGTGACCTACAACTTACGATGGCAATTTATTCAGAGGAACAAAGAGAACAAGAATATGGTGATATCAAAGAGGATTTGGACATGATAGGCAAGGTTGGTTTTTATTTATTGATGCATTTCTTAAAGCCTTTGTTTGAAGTCGGTTAATTTATTATTTTCCTGGTTAGTTAATGGACGAACTCAGAGGCGATGTGAATTATATTAACGATACTCTATCCACATTATCACACAACGTGGAGCAACTTAAAATGCAAATATCGAAATCCGGAGGTAATTCTCATGTATCAACCCCGCTAAATGAGGTGTTTAAGGTACAAAGCATCAATTATTCGGATCTTAAACAGCCAGAATCTGGGAAAGATAATAGAAGAGGAGAGAATGGAAAGATTATTAGAAAAATATTTCATGGTGTTGAGGTTGCTTGTAAAAGAATACCATCTGTTGTTGATGATGATACCACCGAAGCTCAAAAAATTCAAACTGAATTGGCTATACTTGGTTTATTAGGAAGATGCGATCACATCATTACTTTTTATGGCCTTTCTGAAGTAGAAAAGGAGAGCGTCATGGTTTTTGCTTGGGCAACTTACGGAAGTCTGAAATCTTTTTATGAAAAATATTCTCTTGATTGGCATCTAAAATTAAAAATCACTCGTGATATCTTTAATGGTCTTTTCTTTATACATAGTAATAATATTCTACATCATGATGTTCGTTGCGAGAATATTTTGGTTAGTTAATTCAATTTTAAATTTAAATGTAATGTTTTATGATTTTATTATATTAATTTTTATTATATATTCTTAGATTACAGAAAACAAGATAGCTAAAATCTCGAATTTCGAAATGTCTCGTAGTGTACAAGGTGAATCTGCACCTATTAGAAATTTAAGTGACTATATTCGCTGGATGTCTCCGGAAAAAATGAAAGGAAAACGTTATTCTTATTATAGCGAAATGTTTAGGTAACTATTTTATCTTCGCTATTGATTTTATTAATTTTTAACCATCAATTTCGTTTTAACCAAAATTTTTGTTTAAAATAGTTTCGGAATGCTTCTTTGGGAACTTTGCCATGAAAAAATTCCATATGCAAATATGTCCGTTCCAGATATACAAGACCATGTTAAAAACAAAGGAAGAGAATTTATACACCTTAGTGAAAGTCAAATACACAAAGAACTTACAAAACTCATTAGACAAGGTATTTTAAATTAAAAAAGATCATTTGTCTTGTTAAATACGTAAATTTAACGGTGTTTCCCATAGCATGGCAAGATGATCCGGATGAACGTCCATCTTATGTGGAAGTCCATACGAAACTTAAAGATCTATACGAAAATTATACAACTAACGATATATCACCAAAGGTTCTCAGTAAAATAATGTCAGATAATGTTTCTTACTTTGATCTAAATTGTGAGGATTTAAGGATTCCCGATAGTTGTGGCAAGAAAATTGATTTCCCGCAATTATATGTATTGAAACCGTTTGAAGATGGACTTAAATCTCATAAAGAAAGGAAGTATGAGGATGCATGGGAATGTTTTGATGGACACGCAAACTTGGGCTATAATCTTGCAAAGTATTGGAAAGGGTATTATTTAATGTCAGGATACCATGTGAAAAAAGATGTCATTGAAGCATTAAAATTTTTTAAGGAGGCTGCAGATGGAGGTGTTACCGATGCACAGCTTCGTTATGCATTCTTGTTGATGGATCAGAAAAATTATGACGTGAAGGTTGTATTGGATTATATGACAAGAGCAGCTAATGCGGGAAATGCGACTGCTTTATATAATTTGGGTGATGTTTATCTAAATGGAAAATTAGGAGAACAAATAGATACAAAGAGAGGAATTGAGTTGATTAAATTAGCTGCTTTGAAAGGTCAACCGAGTGCAAATGAGGACTTGAATAAAATTGGTAATAGTATGTCTGGGTCTAATTGATATTTAATTATCATTTAATTTTATGTATTATTTATAATATTATGTGTTATTGATTATGTATTGATCAAAATTCACATGCAAACCAAAACTCACCTATGTATGCAATAAATATTGTCGTTATACCTACTAAGTATTGATGGTGTTGATAGACGTTTTTATTTTGATTTATGCAGGTTTATTAAAACCTTTAGATTTTATCTTACTATATTAGAAACAGTAAACATTTAAAGGTCAAATATTACGCTGTATTTTATTAACTAAAATAAAGAATCTTTAATATTCAGTAATGAAAGTAAATCTTAAACGCAACAGATTATAAAATATTAAAAATTTAAAATATAACGAATAAAGAGATAATTTTTTTATTCAATTATCTTTAGTAAGAGCTACACATAACTATTTTCTTTGTAAACTAATTTTTCTTCATCATAGCTCTTAAATGAAGAACATTTCATCTATTTTATATTCTTTTTACTGCATACAGGTCATTATAAGAACATAAAGAACATACGTCTTTGCTTTATATTGTGAAGCCTTAAATTTTATTGCGTTCTTTATAAAAATGAAAAGTGATAGGTAATTTTGTAACAAGTCACATTTGGTCATTATATGTTAGATTTTAATGCCAAAAAAAATATCATTCCGTAACTAGTACAATTGTTTCCAAAAATTTTTACTATCTTGACTTCTTTTTAAAATATATGTTGTGATAATATAGAACAATGTATAAATACATTTAATATTATGACTAATAAATAATATATAAATTAATACTTCATTGACGTTTATCATCTTATGCTTATTATTTTAACCTAGTTATCAAACTATTATATTAGTTACTTTTTCAACCTAACAATATAATCATATTTCGAATAGCAATAGTGTATAATATATCGTAGTATATAAATTCCATATATTAAATCATTAGGTATATTATAATAGAATATACTATATTTCTATTTGATTAATTGATATTAGGTGATAAATATGCAAAAGAAAAAAATCATATGAATTGAATAATCAAATCAATATTAAAGACAAAGTTGCAAAAAATAATTACATTAATGTAATCAAAATTTGTTACATACAGTAACTTGAAACTTTATAAACTCTTCAAAGTATATTTCTATTAACAACATAATTTTTTGGCACCATGTAGAGTTAATAAAGTTTACGAATGTTAATTATATTGAATAACAATACAGACATTAAATTGCTGTATTAACGTTTTTTCAAACTTTCTATATCAATATATTAATCACAAAATCATATAAACTAATTTCATTATAAATGTATATAATTTTAACATATATCATATTTATTTTACTACTTAAAGCTTATATTTATATATTTTATAAAGTATAGTAGCTTTTTAAAATCCATTAGGTATTATATTTAAATTTAATTTAATATATTGTTGGATAATAAAACAAATATTATTAGAGAAAGATTTTGATTGCCGGTTTTGTAATAATCAAAGATTCTGTCAAACATGTTCATTTATTTAATTAAATAAGACAGTATCATATCTTATGATTATATAATAATTATAAAGTTATAAACACAAGGAATTAAAGAATTTTATTGCAAATAATTAACTATTAAATAATTATTTTATAATTGAATTTTTTATTATTTTAATAATTTAAAACACAAAAATACTCTTTATTAATTTTACATGATAATAAAGTAGTTATTGTAGTTAAAAATAAAATTAATAAAAATTGTTAGAAAAATAGTTGAAAAATAAAAAAGAAAATATTAATTATATATTAATTGATAATAAAATTGATATCTCATTTCTTTAATAAATGTTTTGAAATTATAATTATCATTATACAATTTAATTGCAAGGTTTCTTTGCCTTATAACTGTTAGAGATCCCATATATGTTTTTCTATAAACTATAGAACATCTATTAGAAGCTATATTCTAAATAAAATTTTTTTGTTATTATTTCTTTATTATATACTGATTTTTGAAATTAAATTAAAGTATAACAATATATATGCAATTAATATAAATAGTAACAGTGATGAAATAATTAATTAGAAGATAATAAAATCTTATAACTATTTGTATTATAATGATAATTAATAAACTTATTTTATTGAAGTACTTATCTAAAAGATATAGTAGAAATCAATATTATGCATATTAATAAAAAATTAAATTATAAATACAATTAAGATAAATAAAAAAATAATGTTAAAAAATATTATATTTATAAATAAATTTGATATTGTAAGCAAAAACAAACATATATATTAATAAAGCAAATTTAATTTGGAATCAGTAATAAACTTATCAGTATAATTAATATTAATTTTAAATAACAAAAAAATAAAATATTCAAAGACATTATTTAACTTTAAAAAATTGTGTAAAATTTAAATATTAAATAATATTAAATCAAATTTTAATTTTCTTAATTTTTTAAAAAAAAAAACTTTCACCCGTTCACCACTGATTTTTTGAAAATTTTCTTTTTAGAAAATCTTCTCTCAAGAAGCATTTTCCTTTCTTTATTCTCTAAGGCAAATAAGCTTTAAACCCAAAGGACATAAAGACTCCAAGGAACACTATTGCATTAGAATAGGACCTCTGGTCAAGACCTAAGCAAGTTGGGAGTCTTCCTTAGCTCTTGGTTGCATAGGGAAAGACTCGTAACAGCCTGTCTTCATAATTTTTGTCTTTAGATACCTTTCCCTTTATGATCATGATAACTGTTTTCCTCTTACCTTTCACCTTCTATAACACAAACTCAATTCCAATAACACATTCAAACAAAGTTACTGGGTCTAATGTTTGTCTTAACACAACCTTTGAAAATTTATAATTTCTCTTCTCTATCTCTAAAATAATATCACGTACTACTTCTTCATTATTTTACAAATTTTTCAAATTTACTCAAAAACTGTAATCAGTTTCACCCTATCCAAAGATCTATACTTAAAAAATGACCAATAAAACATTTTCACTTCTTAACAACAACATCAAACCTGTTTAAACTCATTCATAACCAGTTTCTTATCAAAAAAAAAAAAAAAAAATTCTCCCACTCAACAACATTTTCTTTATTAAAATACTTACACACTAACAATAACAACAACAATAATCACAATTGATTGACACATACTGGATTGGGAGAGCAGATAACTGTGCCCTGCGCAGGTTCCAGTAATCTTTAACTAAAAAAGTACCAAAATAACACAACAACATTGAAGCAGGCTCCATACCCGACTTACTACTATCTCAACCACACCACCAACTTATAAACTACACAACTTTCTACAATTATCGTTAACAATGGAGTTGCGATCCACGAGCAGCAATGTTATCGTTAAAGAAAAAAGGCAGCCTAAGCTTAACCAATGTGGATGAAAATAAATACTTTCATTGTGAGTGGAAGTGAAATATCAGGGAGTTGCACTCCATAATCTGGCAGCTTAAGCCAGTGCTCCTCTACTGCTGTTGGAGTCGCGTCCAGCTATCGAAAAGGAAGCAGTAACCTAGGTAGACATATTTGGTTTGTGCCCTGCGGGAGGGATTGTTAACACAAAAGATAATTGCATTCAAAACTCAATACTTACTATTACCACCTTAACAATTTTCATTTCTAATTCCTTAACTATATGCAGCTTTCAGGGAGTGATCAACCCTGATTTCAAATTAACGTATATAGCAACTCCATGTCAAAACCACCAACCTTCAACTTTCAATACCTTCACATTCCTTTACTTACACTATGGCGATCTTGCCCTCAAATTTTTATATAGATAATTTATTTTATCCTTATACATAGATAGTTCCTTTCTTAACTTTTTCCCTACTCAAGGGTTTTTTTATTAGAAACATATCTACCATAATAAGTGGTAGACTAATATGTACATAGTTTACTTTGTCCATATATCTTATATCTTAAAAATTAATAAAGATCATGAAACATGTCTTACCTTAACAGTAAAAAAAAATTTTTTTCTTAATTTTTTTTAATAAACAAACTATTTTAGTTTATTTATCAAGTATTAATAAAATATAAGAAAAAATTTTTTTTTTTTTTACTGTTAAGTGAGGCATTTCTCACGATCTTTATTAATAGAGTAAGATTTGTTACATGATTAATAT